ATTTAAGAGTGCAGACCTGAATGTAGCGAGTGTGGGTTGAATACGAAGGAGTTGTATACATATATATATATATTATCTGTATTTCTTCTTTTTTTGTTTATCTTTGTGTTATCTATATAATGTTTATTGCATTGAAATTGTTTGTATGGGGTGTACATATTATTGCATGCGTTCATTATTACTATTACTATTCCTATTCCTATTCCTATTATTATTATTATTATTATTATTATTATTATTATTATTATTATTATTATTATTATTGTTTATTTCCTCAGGTTCCCTGGAGGTTGTGAATACGTGTTAAGGTTTCTATTAGAGGTCTCGAAGCCCCCAAGCCCTGTGCGGGGCCCTCTGCGTTTATCTTTTTCTTTGCCTGGGCTTACAGCGAGCGGTTTGTGCATTCGTCAGCTGCGCGTAGTGGAGAAGTCAAATTACTCTGTCTCTAAATCTATTCGTTATCTCACAGAGTCAGGGCAGTATGAACACAGACTTTAAACAACACAACTCATGCACAACACATACTATAACCCGACTCGCATGCAATGCATGCATGCAGCAGCATAAGCAGCATAAGCAGCAGCAGCAGCAGCGACGGCGGCGGCAGCGGCAGCAGTTTTCAAACAGCTTGGTGCTGCAGATACACAGCGAAATACAAAAACAAATACGTAAGATAGACAGATGCATGCGTCCAGCAGCAGCTGAGACTCCCTCTGCATGCATGCGCCTGCCGACGCGCGAGCAGTTGTCTTTTTGTGGTATAAACGCAGCAAGGCGAGGGTTTGCAATATTGGGGTGTACAGACATTGTACACAGCTTGACGTTCTTCATACGCGTTTGTAGAGTTGCATTTATTGTTTATTTTCTCTTTATTTTGATTTCCGCGCACCACCTCTGCACCAGTAGTGGCTCTCAGGAAGGCTCTTTAAAAGCTAGAAGCAGTTTATATATTGTCTGTCTCCTAGTGAAGGCGCTTCTTCATTTGCTGCTTCATTTGTTCAAAGCTGCAGTGTACAACATATTACGCGATAAATGCATGCACAAGTCCGGGGGGCTGACTTAAAAACGCAGCAGAGTAAAACGCCCCCCAGCACCAACAGCAAAAGCGCAGCTTCCTTCAGTTTCAGAAGTGCACAAAAACTGAGACAGAGGCAAAGAAGAATGGGAAGGGCTCTGCTGCTGCTGTGAAGGCGCTTCTTCATTTGCTGCTTCATTTGTTCAAAGCTGCAATGTACAACATATTACGCGATAAATGCATGCACAAGTCCGTGGGGCTGACTTAAAAACGCAGCAGAGTAAAACGCCCCCCAGCACCAACAGCAAAAGCGCAGCTGCCTTCAGTTTCAGAAGTGCACAAAAACTGAGACAGAGGCAAAGAAGAATGGGAAGGGCTCTGCTGCTGCTGCTGCTGCTGCTGCAGTTGCTGCTGTTGCTGCAGTTGCTGTTGCTGTTCGAGGGATGGGCCGAATAAATGCAAAACGAAGCGCCGCGG